TTTTGTTATTATACCTAAAACCAAGTTTGTAAGAAATTCTTTAAACTTTGCAAACCATATCAAATGAGTTAATTTTAATTTTACATTTTTTTATAATTTTAGATTTAATAAGTAAGTCTTATTATTCTGTTGCATTGTAAGATTACATATTTTAAAATCAGACCTTATAAATTGTGATCACTTTGTGTATTTTTTTTAAATTTTGTGTAATGTTCAGACAGTTATTACAGACATTTACTTCTTTACTGATAGTGCAGATTAATTTTAAAAAACAATATTGATTTTTTATGTGAAGAATTATAAAATGCAACAGGAAGATCATTGAAAAACACCAGGGCATCGAACTAAGTCCCAAATATACAGTAATACCAATTGTCATTTGTAAATTTTAAAACAGCTGTATTATGCAATATTATGAATTTAAGAGAAAAGTCTATAATACTCTTAAGAATCTAATATTGATTAAAATTTTTGGAAATATTTTAACTCTCTCCGAATCGCTCACCATTACCATTTACACTCTCAGTTTGAGGGTGGATGTTAATGAACTGATTAAAAAAAAATTATAACAAAGTACAAAAAAAATCATAAATAATATCGTTTAAATTAAAATTATTTATCATTTTTAATTTTAACAATTTTGATTGCATAACAAAACAATTTCTGATTTTCCCCCCAGTTTATTAATATTTTATGAAATTCAGGAAATTTAAGTGTAAATTTAGCACTTAAATTTTTATAAATACAGTAGAACCTCGATTATCCGGACCTCTATCATCCGGATTTTCGATTATCTGGATTGTTCAAAATAAATAAAAATTTTACGAATTTGCTGATTTGCACTTGGCGAATTACAACACTGTTTATGTACGTGATGGAATGCATAACATTTTTTGTTTTAACATCTCACCCGGCACAGTGGCCGTAAACTCTTAAATATATTTTCCGTCGTAATAAAAATATAACTTGACATACGTATTTATAAATAATTTATACTCAAATTACATCATTTCTATAACCAAGGGCAGCGTAAGGCATGGGCAACATTGGCCACCACCTATGCCTCGCGGTCCGAAGGGCCTCGCGCCTTGAAGATTTATGCATTACTTAAAAGCCGAGAACGCGACGAAAAAATTTTACTCATCATAAAACGATAAATAGTTTGTCAAATTTTTATTCATAAAAATGAAGTTTCAACTGCTTTTTATTTTATAAAATCCGTCTTCTTGAGCCGCCAGAGGGCCTTTTAAACAATATCTAGTCTGTTAGCGCTGGTCAGTAATAGTCCAAATTCAATAAAACATTTGTTTCTTGAAAATTTGATCACGATTTAAATACAGTATTTACTTTTAATATTACCGATATGTCATTGAAAAGAAAACATGTTGTATTATCATTAAAAGAAAAATTAAAGTATTTGTTTTGATTATCCTTATCCGGACTACCTTCATCCCCAATTAGTCCGGATAATCGAGGTTCTACTGTATATACTTTTGTATATGGATTATACAGGATTTATTAATGAATAATAAGTAATGGTCAAAGCTATGTAGATTTATGGTTGTGGATTAATAACAGAATAAACTGTTTTAATTTAATAAGACATTTTATTTTTAATTTTAATAATTCAGCAATTAGAAAAAAAATAACTAATTAAATAGTTGAAGAAGCAATAATGTATGTACTTACATAACAAGTCAAGTGTTGTTTTATTTTGTCAATGTGCCATACTGTAAGGCAGGATGGCCAACATGTAGACCGCAGTCGACCGCAAAAGTTTTGAAAGTAGCCTGCGAAGCTAAAGTTGAACAATTTGCTTTCACTTAAATTAATGTTTAAAAATCTTAATTTGATAATTTATTCTTACAATAATAGACTGTCTGTGCAACGTACCCATACTGTTTGTATTTATCCTGATTAACAATGCAAATGAATGTTAACACATGCGCATATAAAAATCCTAAAATTGTTTGCCTGTATTCATAGTCACTCGCAGACTATATTTTACCAAAAAAGTAGCCCCTAAGGGATAAAAGTTTGGCCACACCTGCTGTAAGGGATGTGAAGGTCAGGGAAAGTCATGGAATTTAAAACAAAATTTGAGTAGGAACCCTGTATGTACAGGAGGTTAATAAGAAAAAAACATAAAAATATGTTAGCAATAATAAACTACACCAAAACCATAAAAAGTCAGAACTATAATTAGTTGAAATCAAAAACAAAACCAAAATAAATGTTCACAAAACTTTCTTGACAATTGGGAAACTTAAATCTAAACATAAAATTAATTTTTGTATACTGGCACAATGAAGTGACCTTCTTTATCAACACTTGGCAAGTTTTCAATCTTTATTCAGTTAGAATGCCGTGCTACACATTTGCATTTTGGGTATTCTCCCCTCTTCAGCTAACTAAACAAGTATAAAATAACATATTCAACAATAACCGAACATAAACTAAAATTATACAATAAAATTGATTTTTAACCAGTGAAACATACCTCACTCCAAAACAGACACCCAACTAGTACATAGCAGAACTTTAGACAACTTAAAAGTTTTTCATGACGACTACCATAAATGCCGTCTTTTTACACTTTTTTACAATGACACAATCGGTTTTCTTAATTTTTAACACGCAGACAAAGTAATTGATAAATAGTACTAATTAAAATTGTTACATAAAATCATGCCCTTCGTCTTCGTTCTTCCAAGCATATCCTGTAGGCCATCTTTCCGACACTATCATCTAGTCGGCCAATTTGCATATATCACGATATACCTTGATTTAATGAACTGACAGGGCAATCGATAGACAACTATTATCTTAAAAAAATATATAAAAAACTTTTTTTAAAAAACACATCTATCGTTTAAATTCCACCAGGCGTATTTTGTGAACTACTGTCCTGTTATCCAATTTACATATAACTCAAAATACATTAGTATTACATTTTTAATTAAATACCTTTAATTTAAATTAACTAATCTTTTTTTACCATTCTATTAATCTAATACACAACTATTTACAATATCTTCATCCAATTTTCATTAATTTTAACGCTTAGATTTTTGTTTATACAATTTCGATGTTTATTTCTTATTATTTCTACACTTAACAACAACAACAATCTAAATTTTCTGTTAATTATCTTCGGAAAAAACCCGAAGAATTTGAACTAGATCGGATTTCACTGATTGTATAACAACTAGCTAAGAAAGTTTACACTTATGTGTGAAGAATGCACCGTCATCGTCAACAAAAGTCGATCAAGTGTCAGCTCTCTCACGAAAAGATATAAAAGGGGAGATCAGTGAAAGCTCAGTGCGTCCGCACACGGAAGTCATTCTTGGTACTTGTGTTCGTCGATCTCCATGCCAAGGACTGTGATCCCATCGGAGAAGACACCGAAGACACCACACCTTCCATACAGACGACTCTCCATTTTTCGCCGAGAGGTATTTAGGAAATTTAGATTTTGTCAAAGCGCTCTCTCTCGAACTAGAAATTAGGTCAGCGACATAGTTCCGAAATTCGTCGCCAATTTCTGTAAATATTTTAATATAACCGCATTTAACCTTAGTATTCTTGTAACGTAGATTTAGTGATTCAATAAATGCTTTGTTATTTTGTTAACCTGTCACCTGTCATTTAAAGGACGCCTGCCGACTTGCTCACCTTCCTCGCCACTCGATAAAAAGCCATCCTAACACCCCGAGGTCGGGTTTTACCAGCCTGTGCCGATTAATTTAGTTTAGTTTATTGAACATAATAGGCAGTCGCCTGTTACAAGGGGGGTACATGACGATGATGTAAGATGGAAAATAAACATTCAATAACAAAACTCAAACATATTTCCACTTTAGAATAACTTATAGTATTTAAGATTTTACATTTAAGAGTCTTCTTACACCATTGTAGCAACTGTAAATTTCATTAGTGGTAGCTTGATTAAATTTATTGTACATATGATTAACTAAACTTTGGCTGATGTTTTGATCTCCAGTGATCTCTGATTCTTGATCTTTACTAAGGTCACACCCATAAAATAAATTAAGCTTTGATAGTGTTTTAGCACAACTTGGACAAACGGAGTGTGCAAATTCCAAATATTTACCTTCAAATATTAATCCATTTTGATTCAGTCTCATCTGAATAAAAAATTTTTTTACTTAAAAAGTTAGATTCGTAAAAATATAGTTGTTAATAAACGGATAATTAAAAAGGAAATTATAATAATATTTATTACTTCTCTTACGAACATCTTCAATATCCTGAGTTATGGAACATTCTACAACTCTAAGCATTAATTGATT